GGTCAGATTATGTGTGGGGATCCTGGCCAGGTCGGGCGCGGGGCACAGGGACCTCTCCCAGAGCCCCACGCATAGGTGTTCAGGTGGCCACGCCTCCCTCAGAACATCAGGTGGCCACGCCTCCCGCAGAGCTTGCGATGCCTCTAGGACAGGAGGTCTCAAACTTCAGCATTCACGAGAATTACCTAGAGTGCTTGCGGAAACAGGCTTTGGGACCCTGCCCTCAGTGAATTTGGTTCCGGGGTCCGGGGTCGTGCTTGAACTTGTATTTCTAACAAGCTCCCAGGTAATGCTGTTGCTGCTGCTGGCCGGTCACTCCACCTTGATGAAGAACATTTATATCGGGGAATTTTATTGACTGGGTCCTGGTTCCACAGACCCAGTGAATAAATTGCCCTAAGTCCATGTTGATAGCTTTGGGGCACGGATCCCACAAAAGACTACCGTAGAGGTTCCAAGTATTGCTGGCCTTTTCGTAATCCAATCCCTCGGCTCCATGTTGCCACTGGGCCATCAGCCCACAGCGATCTCAAGAAATCATAGCGCCTGGCCTTCTTTCATGGACACCACTGTTTACGAGACGCATCCTGACCATAAAAATCATCCCCCCAATTTATTTTTGGTGCTGAAAAGGCAGAGATGTACCAAGATCCCTTCTTGGAACTGGACTAGACACGGAGCCTTTCTTTCTCACCAGCATTGCACCTTTGTTCCCAATTTCTTGCTGGCCCCAAATTCTTGAGAAAAACTTAGGCTGGTTCTTTAGCCAGAGCCCCGCGTCCTTCGCGAATGGCTACAAGAGACTTCTGGTGGGAATGCGTCTGGCTCCCAACAGTACCAGTTGGTTCCAGGGCCATATTCTTAAAATAGAAAAATGACCAAGTGCAGCTCTGCAGGGCTGCCTTTGGTGTGATCCAGAGAATATGTTTTGAAGTGTCTGAAGGACTCAGCCACAGGAATCCCGGGGGCACCAGCCAAGGCATCTGAGGGCCAAGGAGGGCCAAGCCCGGGACCATCCGTCCTCACGGGGGGATTCCAGCGACTCGGAGCCGGGCCTGGGACGTGTCCGGGCAGGTCCGCCGAGCCCGGGGCAGGCTATTTACACGGCAGCCGTGGCGGGGGGAGGGCGGCGTGCCGGTCTGAACGGAAAGCGGCACGTGAGTGGGGGCACATGAGGACCCAGGTTTTGAAAAATGCCTTTTGATAAACGTGTTTATTCATTAAATAATATGTCCATTTTTTTTTTAAATACCTGGCACTTGTATCATTTACATTAGGGTTTCTGATAGTTTGGAGATTCTGTAGTCCTCACGTAGGAAGTCGTGTGAGAACGAAGGAAGATTGACTTCGTGTAGCTGACTGCCGGGTTGTGCTGGGTGTGTGACTGCCCGGGCAAAGGGCGTGTGTGGCTTTGGGAATGTTGGTGGGCGAGGGAGCTTTTTCCAGATCTCTGCGGGGAATAATGTGTCTAGACCTGTTGTTTTGAACGGTGCACGTTTGCTCCAGCTCCCAGCACCTCCGGAAACGTGTTAAATGTTAACCGGGCGAGCGCGCCTTGCAGTGACGCTGTCTCCCAGCACACACCGTGTTTCTGTGCGAGCCTCCGGCCTGGGTGCCTCACTCGTCGCATTTGCAAGGCAGGGGTTGGTTGAGGAGCCCCAGTTCCGTCCTTTTTGTCTTTAATTAATAACAATGCTTATGATCCTAGGAGACACTTACTTGCCGACCGTTGTCGGTGCCAGGCCCTGGCCTCAGGGCTTGCACATCTCCCGTCTTTCAATCTCCACGGCACCGTTACGAAGCAGACACTCGCACGATTCTGATGACCGCGTGGGAAAGGGCGCGATGACCTGTCCGCGTAGCAGATAGCGAGCAGGGGGAGCAGCGGGGTTTGGGTGTTTGGAGCGTTTTAACAAAGCTCACCACCACTCTGCATTTTAAGCGGATCACAGAAAAGAAAAGGCGGCTTCTGAGGCGGGTGTGGCGTGGGTGGCAGCGAGTCTCCTGGCCAGTTCTGAGTCTGTCAGTCGCTTGGTGAAGTCACCGGAACTGTTCTCTGGAGCCCTTGGTCATTTAAGAGGTTTTGTTAAAGGACAGCTATTGCCCTTGCCTTCCTAGAGAACGGGGAGCCATTGCTGCGCACCCCTCCTTTATGAGACTTGCTTTTAAAATTTCAAACTCTTTATTTGGATATAATTTCAAACTAACAGAAAAGTTGCCACAGTATAGTATTAAAAATACCCATATGCACCCTGGCCGGTGTGGCTCAATGGATAGAGCGTCGGCCTCAGGACCAAAGGGTTTGCTTCTGGTCAAGGGCACGTATCCCGGTTACAGGCTCCTCCCCGGCCGGGCCCTGGTCGGGGTGTGTGCAGGAGGCTACAGGAGGCAACCAACCCATGTGTCTCTCTCTCATCGGTGTTTCTCTCTGTCTTTCCCTCTCTTTTACTCTCCCTAAAAATCAATGGAAAAATATCCCCGGGTGAGGAGTAAAAAACACAAACAAAACAAAATACCCATATACCTTTTGTTCAAATTCACTTATTGTTATATTTCACTCTACTTCTTTTAACCTTTGTGTGACTCCCTTTGAGTATATTGGGGGGGGGGGGGGAGGCGGAAACTATATAAAGCTGCATTTTTTCTTTCTGAATCATCTCAGAGTAAGTTATATCCATTTTGGCCATTTTCCCTCAATACAAACTTGAGCGTGTATTTCCTAAGTGTAGGGATATTCTCTCACGTGACCACATTACAGCAATCACTCTCAGAACATTTCACATCGGTGCAGTAGTTTGATCTAAGCACGGGCCCTGTCCTGTCCGCATGTGGCATTCCCGCCCCGGGCGCAGAATCCGCCTAAGGCCAGCCACCGCATTGAGAATGATTCTAATTATGCCCAATTTTACTTTTGCCATACTCTAGGCAACATACCCACCTAACCTAGAGCAATCTCAAGTGGACATGAAAATTAGACTTGTGATATTTTTCATTATTGCCTGATATTTTGCAATTCCTGATCATTAAGATGTACGCATTCCTACGAAAACTAGTTACTAGGATGGTTTCTTTTAATTACATTATATGCCTAAGTGAATTACTTTTTTGGGCCACAGCTGAAATTTTAACAATAGCTTAATGATATTAATTTAATTTTAAAAGAGACTTCTATTTCTTGATACTCACTAGCATAATGCAGGATTACTGGAAAAATAGGAAACTCCAAGGAAGAAAATTAGATTTTTTTTTTTTGCTTGAGAGGCATGATTGATGCTGACGAATATGAAAGAAAATTCTTAAATAATCTGAGTGCTGTTTTACAGGGAAGCTGCTGATTTTATCACTCTCTCCTGCCAGGACACACAGGGGTGCCTGTTAACAGTGACAGCTTTACCCTCACGGTCAATGGCAATGCTGAGCTTTCCAGTGTCTGTAGCATCCCAGGGCAGTCAGAAACCCACTCCAGGGAGGGCCGTGAAACCGTGGCTGCCAGCTGTCTTCCCGTTCCCGTTCCTGTTCCCGTTCCTGGGGGATGTTCCCAGTGGCAGCGGAGCTCCCAGGCATGGTCCTGACGCGTCTTCTAGGTTAACGGCAGCCTGTCCCTCTCCTGGCCGCCCCTTCTCTGTGGGATCCGCTGGAGGCTGACAAAACCCTCAGGCTGAGAACCATCGTACAGTCTCCGCCTCCCCTGAGGCCCCCCCCCCGCCCCCCGTGTCCACAGTTCTCATTTGGTGACCACAGTTGAGAGCCAACAGTCTTGTACCAGCATCATCATTATCGATGCATTTATTTATTTTTAGGAAAGAACAAACGTATTTTTTGGAATCAGACCTAGTCACTTTTAATAGTTATTGTTGAGCAATGTTGGCAATGTTGACCGTTCTTTGCTTTCCCTCCCGGTCCCGTCTTGCATCTTGCACTTTTGATATTGTTAATATCCTTAGTCAAGGAATCAACACCTGCCCGGCCAGCAGGGCTCAGTGGTTGAGCATTGACCTATGACCCAGGAGGTCACGGTTTGATTCTGTGGTCAGAGCACATGACTGGGTTGCTGGCTCGATCCCCAGTGTGGGGCGTGCAGGAGGCAGCCGATCCATGATTCTCTCTCACCATTGATGTTTCTCTCTCTCTCTCTCCCCCTCTCCCTTCCTCTCTGAAATCAATAAAAATATATATTTTTTTAAAAAAGGAAGTAACACCCGATGAATCAGAAACACAGACACGCATGTTGATGACCTTATTACTATGTAGCATCATGCGTTACAGGGGCCTGCGGCCCCCAGGCCAACCTGCGGTTCTCGGCGTGACTTCTAAGGTTGACTGTGACATGCTGCATCCTCTCACCCGGCATCATTCCCTCCCCATCACACACAGACATCTCCCATCATCCCACCCTCACCTCCCGGCGTCCCCTTCACGCCAGCACCGCCAGGCCCGTGTCTGCCGTGCCCGTGGCCCATCTGCCCTTTCCCTGCGCGGCTGTACGGCGAGATCTCGGACCTCGGGTCTGGGAGCCGCCGCAGGAGCAGCCAGGAGGGTGTGTTTCAGGAGGAGGCTTAGGCTCAGTGGTGCTTCAGAGGGACAACCCCGTCTGCTCTCACACAGGGGCTGCTGGGCCTCAGATCCCTTTTCCATTTCACACTCACGGGGGCGGGGGGGGGGGGGCGCTTGTCATTCACTTTGCCCCGGCCGCTCACTTCTGGCGATCTCTCTATTTCTCAGCAAATGCATTCAATACCTTTCCACCCCAAAGCCCAAACGACTTCTTTGACATCATCAGCGACTGAGACCCTTTGGCTTTTTAAAATTTTTTTATTTTTTCACTCATCATTTATTTACAAATACACATTATAACTTTTATATACATTGCACATTTACATGGTAGAAAAGTACAAAACTATATATTTAAATGAATTTTTATTTAACTTGCCATGTTTGAAAATATAAAATTGCATCAGAAAAAAAGTATTATGAAAAGCAAGAAACTTGAACTGAGAAAGCTCTGCCATAACGTGTAGTGACACACCGGTTGAAAAAGAACGAATTAAAAGGTACAGGAGCCCAGCTTCCAGGAAACACCCAACGAAAGACGAGTGTGCAACACCCCCTCAGGCAGTCCCCCATCACTCCATTTCTTTGGATCTGGAACATCTTAAAAGTACTGATTATTGGAAGTCTCAGGTCGCCATCACCTCAGTCTCGCAACCGTCTCCGTCGCAACCGGAGAACTGAAGCAGGAGTTTCCTCAAAGCTGGCGCCCCTGTACCTCCGGTCGGAGCCAGTTACAATGCCGTTTGGTCAGTCAAGATTCCTTGTAAACAAAACCCGAGGGATCGTGTACGTACAGAACAGGCAGCAGAGAATCCAATAAATAAACAGGACACACCGACATGCAAGTGCGTTCAAGTGGAGCGGGGCCTGCGGACGGCGCGATGGAGGGGGCGGGGGAGAGCGTGACCAGGAAGGAATGGTTCGATGGTTTACAAGGCAAACAAAGCTTTCACTTTACAAGCAAGAGACCTCACAATAAATAACAACTGCTCTTCCTTTCACGAATAAATTTCTTCAAAAACAAGGTGTACAGTCAACCAGACATTTTATGTATAAATTATAAAACATGACACAGTATAAATAAATGTCTACACGTCTCGACGACGGGCCTCATCCAGCAGACCTCACAAGGCGGCCCCTCCGGGTCCGAGGAGTGACAGGTGGCCTGGGAGAGAGCTGGAGGACCAAGGTCCTCTATGGATACTTTCCCCCCAAATAAATAAGCATACACGTATGTACAGTATGGACAATATATATTCTTTCTTTCTTTCCTTTTTGTTTTCTGCCCAGAGGCTAGGCCAACACTAAACACTGCTGGCGGCTTTACCACTCTAGAATGGAAGATATGGGGAAGCTGTAGTCCTGATCTTCGTCTTCCTCCTCTTCCTCGGTGTCTTCCGAAATGGCTAGATGGGGGAACACAGGGAGCTGCTGTTTAATGCGGACAACACCAGCGCAGAGCAGCTCAGGGTGCGTGGCCAAGCCCTCTGCCAGCCACATTACAGCGGTGCACTTGTACGTGACTCGCAGGGAGATGCTTTATTTTATTTTATTATTTTATTTTTGGCATCTGCTCTTCTGCAACACGTTTTTTTAAAAAAATACTTAAAAAAAAAACACCAAAAAAAAAACAACAAAAAAAAAACACACCACCATAATCTATGAAGTCAACAACTGCAGAAAGTTCTGAAGAATCAATGGCTCAGGTTTTACGGGCAGATCCTGAAATCAGATAAAAAGCGTTCTTGTGTTCTAGGTACAACTGCTTTGGGTCCTTATTTCAGAGTTAGTGGAGGCGACTGCGCGAAGCAGCCGCGCGCGCGTGATAACAGAAAGCTGCCTTTGAGAAAGAAAACAACAACAACAACAACAACTTTGAAGCAGTTAGTTTAGGTTCAAGGGTTAATGAAGCCCACAGCCAAGCACAGGACTACGGCAAAGGAATTAGGGGCACATGATTGGAGGAGGCTTTTAGAGGCAGCCCCGCTGGATGGTCATGGGACACACCCCAGGGACTGCTCCTGCGGGCCACGGAACTGCTGGCGGGACTGAGCAGCTACCTAGCTTCAAGGGCAATGCGCCGGTAACCGGGTGTGCATCTCCGCTCCCTCGGGGCGTGGCTGGGAAGCCTTAGGTTGGAGCAAGTTGAAAACAGCACTTACAGTTGCAAGATCCGGAGTGCTTCACTTCCAGCAGCACGCCCGCGGAGCAGGCGGCCTCCTTCATGGCGCACTCGCTGGCGTAGGTGGCGTTGTCGCTGGCGCAGACGGGCTCCTCGGACTTATTCTCCGGGCACAGCTCGTCGCACAGGGAGCACCGGCCTCGGCCAACCTTGAAGTCCCATAGACACTTCTTCCCACCGCTGCAGGGGATGTCCTCACAGGACTTTGCTTCTAGGATATAATGGATCTGTGATGAGTACGTGGACTCCCTCTGTCCCCCTTCGCTCCCTTCCTCTACTTCTCTATCAAGAAAGATGAATATATAACTTACACCTTTTTCTGTTTTGTTTTGTGAATCCTCACCTGAGGATATTTTTCAATTGATTTTTAGGGAGAGTGGAAGAGAGGGGAAGACCGAGAGAAACATGGATGTGAGAGAAACACATGGATTGGTTGCCTCCTGCAGGAGCCTTGAACAAGGCCCCGGGCCAGGGAGGAGCCTGCAACCGAGGTACGTGCCCTTGACCAGAATCGAACCCGGGACCCTTCGGTCCACAGGCCCATGCTCTATCCACTGAGCCAAACTGGCTAAGGCTAAACACACAACTTACATTTTATTGCTCGCTAATGGGGGTAATGAAGATATATGATGCAAAATGCTTGATAATAAAACTGAAATACACACAAATCCCCCCAGTTTCCTACATACTATATGTGTGCATGAAAATAGTATTTCTGGAACAGGATTCCAGTGTCCTAGAGCTAAATATGCATTGATGCTTCCCCACAGTGGGATCTTAAAAAAAAAAGAAAGAAAGCGTTCCATCCGTTATCAGAACCTAATGACAGCTGTGAAGAACTGGTAAGTAATTACTTCTTGCTCCCAGCCAGTCTAGCACTTAGAAAGAATGTGCCAAATCGAGTGAGTTCTACGTTTTCTAAGACAGAAAACTGTTTCCTGTTTCAGAATAGATGCCAGTGCTTCGGGAAGACAACAGCTTCCCCGGGGAGCGTGGGGCCAGGGGGAGGATTTCTCTCTTTGGCGAAACTGCAACTGGGAGGCGCTGGCTTCTTTGCTGGTTAACCCCACGGTTTTAACGCCAGACCTGGCCTTCTCCTTCCTACTTTCTCTTTTTGTTTCTCAATCCGGAATACCTACTGATACACTTTCCCTCGTAGGCCTGTCCGATGGACCTGCCCAGGAGGCAGGTAGCCTTCCGCAGGTGACAGGCGCTGGAGTAGGTCACCCCGTCGTTGCCACACAGGTACTGTTCCGAGGAGGTGGGCTCCGGGCAGACGCGGTTACAGGTCACACAGTAGGCGTTATTGTTCTGGTCCACCACACACGTGGAGCTTCCTGGACAGAAGACATCCCGGCAGGTCTCTGCAACAGTGAGGGAGACATGTTAGCAGGCAGCGTCCGGGAGGGAGGATCCGATGTGATCTAGGAAATCCCCAACCAAAGGCAGATGGGGAGCCCGGAGGGATTCAAGAGGAAACCTACGACTCTAGGTATGGTCCTTTCTGTGGTATTTTCCTTTTAAAATATATTTTTATTGATTTCAGAGAGGAAAGGCGAGGGAGGGAGAGAGAAACTTCAATGATGAGAGAGAATCATTCACCGGCTGCCTCCTGCACAGCCCACACAGGGATCAAGCCTGCAACCTGGGCATGGGCCCTGACCGGAATGGAACCGTGACCTCCTGGGTCATAGGTCGATGCTCGGCCTCGGAGCTAGGCAGGGGCCCTCTGTGTTCTGAAGGGGTCTTTGGAAGTTGGAAAGTGTTCCTTTACTTGGGCTCCTCATGACCATTACTAGGCCCCTCCTGCCGACCGCCCAGGCCCGGCCCCTGCTGGGTCACTTACTTTTGCATTTGCCCTGGTACTGGACCTCCAGCTCGCGCTGCTCCTTGCACCTGGCCTTGAGGAGCGCACACTCGTTGCGGTAGGTTTTGCCATCCAGGCCGCAGACCGGGCCTTTCCAGGTGACGTTGGAGCAATCCGGGGCGCAGACGCAGCGGGGTTTGTTCTTCTTGTTCATGCGGCATTTCTTCCCGGGTCCGCAGTCCACGTTCTCGCACGTTTCTACCAGTTGGAAAGAGGCAGGGATTCAGCGGGGCCAGGCCGGAGGCAGGGAGGCAGGTCAGCAGGACTCTGCGCGGGGGAGGCCTTGCGCAATGGTGCACGCGGCGCCCCAGGGGCCCAGGCTCCCTCCCAGGAGTTGGGGAGGGTGGAGGGGGAAGGGAAGGCCAGTGGGCTCGCCCCAGACCCAGATCTCTCTCCAAGAGCCCGGGTGGCTGGCCTCCACCGCCACACTTGGCCAGGCAGCCCCGGAACCTCCGCCGACCTTGTTTTGCGTAAAGTGTGTAACAGGCAAGACTCCACCCAGCTTCCCGGGGCGGGGGGCCGGGGGCCGGGGGCCGGGGACGGGAAGGGGACCGGGCCCAGGGCCGGGCCAAGGTCTGCCTGCAGCGGGGGGGAGGGGAGGCCCACCTTTGCAGGGGATGCAGTTGGGGGCGCCCCCGTTGAAAATCATCCACTTGAAGAGCGTGTTGTCGTTGACGTCCTCCTCGGTCCACGAGGTGCTGAGGCGGCCGGTGCGGCAGCACTCCTCCTTGCTC